TCATTCGACTATTGTGTAAGTTACACTTGTGGTACTCCTCTTTAAATGTTTCTACTTTTACTTTTTAGATGTTTGAGATGTAGACACTTTTAATTTGCACTTGTCTTTGAGTTTTTTTTTTTCTTTTAGCCATCCATCTATTATCAAAGTGACATTTTTCCTTCAACTATAATTAACAACAAAACTTATTAGTATCCTCATATTGGATAATTGGTTGGCAAAGTTAGCTACACTATTGTTGAGGCAAAGTTTTAGTTGGAGGGCTGAAATTATCATTTTCATAATAGCCGAAAAACTTAAAAGTGTGTGCCAAAAGCGTCACTCTCACATTAATGAAATGGTTAAAAGTGAAAATTCAAGGTTGAGTCCTAAATGTGTTATAGACACAACTGTGGCATTACTAAAAAGTAAATGTTGCAAAAAAATCAAACAAAAATATATACATCGCATTTTATTTAGGTATTAAATTAGTGTAGGAACTCGAGATTTAGTAAACCAACAAATTGTTACCAAAGAATCAGGATGTAATCATTTCTGAAATTGAATGCACATTCCATCATTTAAAGAGGGGTTTTCTCTTTATGTATGTGTCCTTGTACAGATGATGTATGATAACATGAAGGAGAGAGTGCAACATGTGTGCGAGATAGGGATGATAAGTGAGGAATATATAACCGATGAGGAAGCACATAAGATATTTGAAAAATATCGAACTCCAAATTTCACAAGTCAAAATCACCATACTATTATTCAGGTTTCTTCCTTCTACATACTAGCAAGCATGCATCCTCACTAAAAATATATTTCTTAAATAATAAGTATGACAAATTATATGTACACATATGGATGAGAAGGTGCTACTAGAGAGTGCGAGTAACAAAGATACAAGGGGTCACTCAATGCCAAACCTTGTCTATGTTTCAAGGGAAAAAAGCAAGAGCTTCCCACATCATTTCAAAGGTGGCGCACTCAATACCCTTGTAAGTTTTCCAAACCTTTTTAAAATTATCTTAAATATAAACTACTCCACAAAAATTGTAAAGGCATCTAATCACACCAAACTTGCTAAGCCCGATTTAATTCGTACATTTACAACATTTGGTTACTAATTCAACTAGGTAGAATATTAGTGTGAAATTCAAATGTTTCAAACTTTTCAATTTAACTTATACAAGCCCAATATGTCTACAATTGTTCATTGTTGATTACACTTCTATCAAATTGGGTTATTAAGATGCAATCACAAATATACATATAACTTGAGTGTGGTGGGTGAAATAGAAAATGATTTTAGACACTCTTGATAATAATTATAGTGATAAGTCTTTGTATTGCATTTGATACAGAGTACTAACTTTAATTTATTATGATTAAGATTCGAGTCTCTGGTGTTATGACAAATGCCCCAATTATCCTAACATTGGATTGTGATATGTACTCCAATGATCCTAGAACACCTAAACGGGCTTTATGTTACTTTATGGACCGCTCAGTAAGGCCCCATTTGGGTTATATTCAGTTTCCTCAACGCTTTTATGGGATCAACAAGGGTGACATATATGGGAGTGAACATAAACATGTTTTTCAAATTAACACAATGGGCATGGACGGCTTCTCAGGCCCAAATTATTATGGAACTGGGAGCTTTTTCTGGCGACGGACATTCTTCGGTGGCCCATCTAGTTTTGTTCACCCTGAAATTTCGGAATTATGTCCAGATTATGCTATGACAAAGCCCATCAAGGCTCCTGAGATTTTGGAGCTTGCACATAAAGTTACAAGGTGCAAGTATGAGGACCATAATGGATGGGGTTATAAGGTATGTGTAAAATTAAAGTTACATTGTGTATTGATGGACTCTTATAAATATAAAAGATAAAATTGTATTTTGTATCCACATTTACATCGAACATTAATTTTTTTACCTCACGTTTTTAAGCTATATTATTTGCATCACACTATTTTGCATTTCTTTAAGTATCATATATAGGAAGTCTATTTCAATATCATACTGTCGGTCATACTTGTCTCAATTGTCTCACCAACAAATAGAAAAATAAATACTTTCAGAATCCATGTTTACATCAATGTTGAACTTTACACTATGCTCTTAGTAGTCCTACCTAACACAAAAACATTAAAGTGAGGTGCAGACTTAAAGAAATTGGAGCAGGAGATTTAAAGTTTTTTTTGGCGTAAACACAATTTCAAAAGCTAAGTTTTCATGAAGAAAATTAAAAAGTTCTTGGTTCACATTTTTTAGCAAGTTTGTAGAGATAATGCAAACCTCATAACTCTTCAAAGTATTTGCTGATATTTAATTGATAGAGCCACCATATACTGATCAATTTTTGCCTAAAGTGGAATAATGTGCTCACAAATTGGAATGGTTATTAAGTTTTTGGTATTTTTTAATTAATCCTCTATAATGTAATAGTTGTATGGTACTTTATAACTACTTAGAAAAAATTACGAGGTAGTCTTGTGGTATTTTCCTAAATAACTATTTGATCATTTTCCTAAAACATAAAGGTGTTTTTAGAAAACTTCCCAAAGAACTTCTTTTGTCTTTTACTAACATTGGTAAATCTGTTGGTTGATAACCAAATACTAATGAACTATGTCTGTTGTTAAATGTATGTAAAATTCATTATTGTAATTTTATCCTCCAACCTAATAACTGTGCAAATAAAAAACTATACGATAGTATATAGATTTATTATTGGAAAAAATGAGTGTTTATTATACTAAATACGTCCTAGATTCTTCTCTTTTCACATTTCAAGAGTGAAATATGGATTGATATTTTCAGATGGGATTCAAATATGGATCAATGGTGGAGGATATGTATACTGGTTACCGACTTACATGTGAGGGATGGAATTCAGTATATTGCAACCCAAAAAGGGCAGCTTTTCTTGGTAGCATACCGACTTCACTAAGTGACACACTCAGTCAACAAAAGAGATGGGGGGTTGGTCTCTTACAAGTAGCTCTCTCAAAGTACTCCCCACTAACATATGGCACTCGTGCGGCTGGCTTCATAATGGGTTATTGTTATACCCACCTTGCCTTTTGGCCAATTTGGTGCATTCCGATAACGATATATGCTTATCTCCCTCAACTTGCTCTCCTTAATGGAATTTCCATCTTTCCGAAGGTACAAGTTTAGTATTACTTTTAATCATATATTAACAATGTAGTGTCAATTTTTTTAGTTCAAAGTGGGCAATTAAAAAGAGATAGAGGAGTTTATAAACAGAAATTAACATGTCAACATTAATATTAACTCGTAGCAACAAATTATAATGATAACTTTTATTTTGTAATATGAAAATGGTATTGATATTTTTTGTATATTTATTTGCTTATTACTAGAAAGATAGTCTCATTAAAATCAGCTCGTAGCACATTTTTTAGTGTGTGCCACATTTGATTTGTATTCAGCTTCCTAAGCTTTTTTCTCTCCACATTGTAATTCTGGCTTTGGCCATTTTTAATAAACTTCCTTCCTTTAAAAAAAAGTCAAATCATTCCAATGACTTAAATTGTAAGCAAATCAAGTATTCAAATATATACGGAGTAATACATACTTTAATTCTAAAAGGATGATAAGGTATACTTTTAGGTATATTTTTCGGGATTAGTAATTACTATCAGTATTTTATGCATCTTATTTTATTTGACACGCAATTGATTTATGTATCATTACTTTATGTATCTTATTTTAATTTTGAAACATTAGGTATGCTTCTTCATGCATAGATAGCTTAGATTCAATATTGCAAATTTCATAAATATGAAAATCAAAGTGATTGGATTGAACGTTACAAGTGGTGAACATGTTCAGAGGGACTTAAGATTGACAAATTTGTGTCATTTTGTTTTTGCTTTTTATTGATTCATAGTGAGAACATAACATAATAACACGGGTTAGACGAAGTTGGAGAGGGTCTCGCTACCCCAAAATTTAAAAAGTGTAGACGCATATACAAATATTACAACCTCCTTAAGATGTCAAAGCGCTAAACTTTGAAACTTGTTTTTTTGTCAAGCTTTTCCGCACATGGAGTACTTAATGTATACATATGACATGACTGTAATACACTTTACTTTGTTGTATCAGGCATCTGACGCATGGGTTCTTGTATATGTGTTTCTCTTCATCGGAGCGAACACACAACATTGTTATGACTTCATTTCGACCGATGGAACATTTCAGAGGTGGTGGAGCGACCAAAGGATGTGGCTAATGAGAGCACTGTCGTCCTACTTATTTGTAGGAGCTGAGTTCATAATAAACAAACAAGTCCGAATACCTGCACTGCAAGGGTTCAATTTGACAAGCAAAGTAGTTGACAAAGATCAAGGAAAGCGTTATGAACAAGGACTTTTCGAGTTCGGGATGTCATCACCTTTGTTCGTGCCTTTAGCAACCGCCGCAATCATCAACGCCGTTGCATTCATCAAAGCAGCTACGAGAGTAATAATCTCAAAAGGGGAATGTTGGGATATGTTCATGATTCAAATGTTTCTTGCTAGCTATGGAGTATTAAATGCTTGGCCAATTTTTCAAGGAATGATGTTGAGAAGTGATAATGGAAGGATGCCTACCATGATTACCATCACTTCAAGTTGCATTGCCACAATTATTTATGTTATGTTTACTTTTTGGATGTAGTGTGTAATGCTAGCTAATACATAATTGTATTATTTTTATTTTTCAATAATGTAGTGGTGTTATATGACACTACACAATATATATATAGGGGGAAGATCCCATGCAAACCAAGCTTCCGGTGCAAATCTACAAACCAAATGCATCCGTTGGATTGAACAATACGGATGGGCATGTGTATGACATCCATGATAGTGTTCATGGATTGAGATGTAGCAAATTAAAATCCTAAGACCCACTACCGTATAAGAATTCGTTGCAAGGCTATTAAGGTCATCTTAAAACATATTTCCCTGGAATTGCCGTCAACCTTGCACTAATCAATTAATTATCTAAATATATGCAATTCATAGAGGGTAAGTGGCAGATAAGCTAAATTCCAGAATTGATCCTAGCCATAAATTGCAAACTAACCTACCATTTGCAATTAATAATTAATTGTAGCATTTACAAAATCAATCTCTTAATTCATAGATCGGTCAATCGCTCCTTAATAAACTTCAATTATCAAAACCTAGCTCCCATTTCATGAGAAATGCATATTAAGATAAAGATATGAGCATTGTATAATTATAATGTTGCATATGATAATATTTTTGAAATAAATTCCTTTATTTACGAAATTATTCACTTCATAATTATAACGTATGCATATTAGTTGTGCATATGATGCACTTGTAGTCACATGATGTGATCATTATTTATGTAATAGTTGTCATATTGAGCCCATTAATTTATTACGTTGCACTTTGGAAGTCCAGATACCGCATTTTATCATTATGACAAGTGCATTCATTTTACAACCATTTTCAAAATTCGTATGTTGAACTGTATCATCGTCACATGTCCACTTTAGAAGTTCATACGAAGTACTAGTATATAGTATTTCAATAAGATGACATGTGCATCTTAGGAGACCATATGTTGCATCTTATTGCTATGACATCTTAAAAGTCTGTACTGCATCTTACCGCTTTGGCCTATGCATCATAGTAGTTCATATGTTGCATTTTATCATTGTGACATGTGCATTCATTTTACACTGATTTTTAAAGTTCATATGTTGCATTGTATCATCATCCCATGTTCATTTTTAGAAGTGCATACAAAGTATATTGTATTTCAGTAAGATGACATGCACATCTTAGAAGACCATATATATGTTGCATCTTATCCATACTGCATCCTACCGCTTTGGCGTCTGCACCTTAGTAGTTCATGTGTTGCATTTTATCATTGTGACATGTGCAGTTAACAATTCATATATATTGCATTTTAGTAAGATTATATCTGCACTAATGGACATGCATACGAAATTTATTAGGTCACAAAATTCATAGTTTCTAGCACATTAACGTAGAAATATTTAAACATTTTTTTTGCATAAATATGAAATTGATGAACTTCATGAACACAAACAATCAAAACATTAAATATGATAAATTTCATAATAGACAAAAGAGTTTTTCCGGCATGCACACTGGATTCAAATCTTAAATGTCAGAATTTTTTAAATTTCATATAAAGAATTAAAAAAAAATCCGAAGTGCATAATTTCATGGGGAAGAAAATGGAGATGAAGTTATAACCAAATCAGAGAAGAGTTACTTATGTTGCAGAGAAGTTCCCTATCAATGGTTGCTATGAACTGAATAACTAAAGCAATTGTTATTGAATGAGATGAAGATGAAAGATTCAAACAAACGTTTGGAGATGGAATGGTGTAGGGATGGAGACGAAGATGGAAGCGGAGAAGGAGATGGAGACGGTGTACTTTTTTGGCGATGGATGTTGATGAATGAACGTGTATGGAAAGTAAATAACCACAAAATCGGTTAGTTAGGGAAATTAGGGAGTACGTATGATTTTTCCAAAAATAAAAATAAACTAAAAAGACTACTTAGCCCATCAATTAAAAGTTCAACCGTGTGGTAATCTAATTAAGATGGATGGCTAGGATTAGGTTTGTAGGTTAGCATATTAAGATAGGTTTGTATTTGATCTCTATTATATATATATATATATAGGGGTGAGATCACATACAAACTAGTCTTCCCATGCTAACCTACAAACTATCACAAACTGTGCATCTTTACATTATTTGTACTGCATATTGAAGTTCAAAGTGTTGCATATTATTTGTACTGCATATTAAAGTTCAAAGTGTTGCATATTATTTGTAATGCATATTGAAATTCACAGTGTGCATCTTTACATTATTTGTACTGCATATTGAAGTTCAATGTGTTGCATATTATTGAGTTTGTAGGTTAGTGTTTTAAGCATGGTTTGTATTTGATCTCTTACCTATATATATATATATATATATATATATATATATATATATATATATATATATATTTGTCATATCACGGTTAAATTATCTATGATTTAATTGATTGACATTCATTTTTATGGTGTGAATTTCATTTCATGTGATTCTTTGTTACCAAACAATTAGGTTTTCCATTTTGATCAACATAATAGTCATACAAAGTATATAACTTCTTTTTTTTACCCCGCTAGGCACATCCCCTGATTATTTTTTAATCAGGGCTGAAACTCGCTCAATTGAATTTTGAACCCTTATGTGTCTAGCGGGTTTCGAACTCGAGACCTCCCACTAGACATGGTAACTTCACAACCAGTTGAGCTGGAATGCTTGGTTACAAAGTATATAACTTCTTTTCACATCATATTTTTCACTTTTAGTTTTCATAATGTTGTCAACTTAATTCCTTTTTATTCTCAGATATGTATCAAAACTTAATATGAAGTATATTTTAATTGTCAACTTATTATGCTTGTGTGTGTGCCCGCGTACACACACATAATTTGATTGAAATGAGAATGATTATAAAGCGTTAGATTTGAAGATTGTGCATTATGTGAAACATAAATGTGTACTACCATGATAATAAAAAATGCGATGGCATTTTCATAAATAAAATCAACTTTTTTTGTAGATTAGAAATGTGCATTATCTATCATAACCATAAATGTGCACATCTGTGAATCATGATGTGCATCGTTTTGGACCGTTCTCATTTTTCACGGAAAGAAATATTCTTACCGGAACCAGGCACTATATATATTTATTTATACATGGAAAAAATAACTTGAGAAGTGTGTCTTCGGCTGAAAACTGCAAAATTTTAACTAATCGAACCAATAAGGTAAACTTTTTAAAAATACATTATAACTTATAGTTCAATAACCCTAAATTAAAAAAAAAACTTCATGGTGATAAAGTGTGGAAGTATGAGACAAGTATGAAAATATGATGACAAAAATTAGTGCTTTATGGTTTCATATTTATTGATTCATAAATACATTCAAAACACTTCTTTTCTGATTAACTATTAATTTGTTAAATTTAATTTAAAAGCCAAATATATAACTTTTATCAATAGTATAGCTCACGTGATAAATTGCGGAAGTATAAGACAAGCATGAGACTACCATGAAAACAATGAATAACACTTGATATCCTATGTTGTTTAACTTATAGTGCGTCATAAATGTATTTAAGACGGTTTTATAATTAACTATTAATTCGTTAATCACTACAACAAAATGAACAATATGCGGCACATAGAACATGTTACATGAGATAGGTAAACTTTTGCAAAATAGTTAAAACAACACTTTTTGAGTGCTACATCAGGACTCGTTGCTACATCCCCTCCTATAGTATGCCAACATTTTCTGAAAGACCCCATTAAACCCCTTTGGACCTGGAGCTCCATTTTTGTTAAGCTCCCAAACTACCTTCTTAATTTCATCAGCATTAGGCAAGAGTAGAAGCATGTTATTGTCGCTGTCATTCAATACTCTGAAACATGTTTTAAGATTTTTTCGACATTATGCATATGTTCTCAAGAGAATATCTCTCTGAAGTACCGTTTAGCAACCTTACCAATATCATCCACATCTGTACATAGTTGGCCCACTGAATCTTTGATAGAGGTAATTTGTTGCATCCTTCTTCTAGTGTTCACATGTGAATAGTAAAATTGAGTATTGGAATCACCCTCTTTTAACCATTTAATATGTGTCTTCTGCTTCCAAAAAGTCCTCTCCTGCTTATGTTTAGAGAGTAGGGCAGTATGTTTAAAGGACCAATCATCTCTGTTTTCCACTGATGGATCATTCTCAAACAAAATTTCGACTTATGTTTAGAGAGTAGGGCAGTATGTTTAAAGGACCAATCATCAATAAATATACTAATTGGAGATCAAATTTCGATATCAATATATTTTATATTTTTTTAATAAAATTTTGGTAAATGTTCCCTGACATTTACCACACCCTCTTAAGGTGGTTCTCAGGAACACACACACACACACACTAGCAGCGTACGCACTACGTGCGAGTTGTGCCCAATATGTTGCACCTACTATAGCCAATTCAAAAAAGAACCAATTCGTGTTCCAAATTGTTGAATTTTCCATTAACCCAAATTACCTTTGCTTATGCATATTTAAAAAAACTAAGGAATTCACAGTTTAATTGATATTAAAATCCAAAGGTATGATTTAATTAAAGGAAACATTGAAACTACTCACCTTTTAGCGGTATTCTAACGAGAGTCCACCTAACACTATTTCGGGAATAATCCAACATTTGCACCTCATCTTTTTTCATCGTTCCCCCACCAGTTGATGACCTGTTATTCCGGTTTTTTTCTTTTTTCTTACTCCCTAAAAATTTCTCTTTTATTTTTATCATATTCTTTGGTTCCCTTTTTATGTATTCTTATTCTTATTTTTATTTTTTCCATGTTTATGTATTCTATTGTTTCCTTTTTTTCTCCCTTTTATTGTTTATCTATTATTATTCTCCCTTTTTTTTGTTTTCTTAAAAAAATATGTATTTTTCGGATTAGTTCCTTTCTTGTACAAGATCTCTCTCTCACCCTACTGATTTTTTTATTTTACTTTCTTTTTATTTCCACTTGTTTATTTCCCTTTTCCTTTTCTACCACCAATATATTTTTCTCTTTTGTAGAAAAATTTAATGAAAATTTTTAAACAAGTAGCCGGGACAAAATTTTAAAAAGAAACTACAACGTATAGGAATACATAAAAAGGAATGAAAATAAAAATGGGGGAGAAGAACAAAATGGAAAAACTATTGAAAGATAATTCTATAAAATCTCTTATAGTAAATGGATAAAGGAATACATAAAAAGGGTTAATAAATGAAAATAAGTCATTCTAGTTTTTTTTTTAATCAATCTTCTAAGTTAAAAGTCAATCTAGTTTTCAATGGTTTGAAAATGTAGGTGGAAGTTTTCTGAGTTTCTGCAACTTCCCTACA